AATGAGGGAGACCGGGACCTCGATTCCTACTGGAGAGCAGTAACTCATTGCACTGGTTACGAATAAATGTTCAATTTTCCATTATCGTTTTTTTCCCTTGACTTTTATATGACTTCCATATATTTTAATATATTATAATGAATGCGATTAATTTTGAGATCAATTCAGAATTTTTTTCGTTTGTGTTAAAAGAATTTTGAGTCCCGTATTTAAAGGGTTAGTGCTGTAATTCAGTATTATTTCATTTGTATTAAAAGACATTTTAAGGGAGACATACTGAGCATAGTTTTATTCTCTCATGACTTTAAATAGTACCCCCTTTTAATATGGGGGAACATAGGTACCGAGAAACATAGGTACCTGGGTACTGGGACACATAGGTACCGGGACACATAGGTACCTGGGTACTGGGACACATAGGTACCGGGACACATAGGTACCTGGGTACTGGGACACATAGGTACCGGGACACATAGGTACCTGGGTACCGGGACACATAGGTATGGACCCAATCAATGAACTGCCATCAGATCGTGCGGCTTTATAAACCTGGCTGTACTACGTACACCACATAGCCCACTCTTGTTACTCGTGCCCGCATAGTCTCGTAAAACGTATTATCAGGTATTCCTTATCACATGATACTCTCAAGTGAATATTATTGACCAATAGCACTAAAACACAAACTTTGGTCAATCATATGCACGCTAGCAAGGTCATCGGGTGAGGCTATTACAACAAACGGTACAAATATACGAAATTTGATCTCAACAAATGTTATAAATAAACTAATTATTAATTAATTAATGCAGAGTCACTGACAGCTAAAGGTTTGAAAGCTGCATTCGGCCAGAAATTTCTAACCGGTTTTATCTATTGCAGGTGTCAGACAGTAAGTAGGCGCCTATTATTGTATTCAGCAAACGGTGGCGACAGGATGCGACGCTTGGCACGTCACACCTAGCGCATAAGACGCTACGCATATAACGCGCGATGACAATGGATGGGCGCGCCTCCCGTATCGCCTTGCGCCGGACGAATGATAAAATTTCTGACGGATCCAGTACAATTACAATGCTATACAACATGAAGAAAAAATATATACAAAAAAAATACTTCAACATATTCTGTACTAGTAAAGTGATTAAGACAACATGAAGAAAAACATAGATACCAGAATAAAAAAAAATTCAGCAGAGTCTATACAAGAATAGTGATTAAGATACACTTTAACATCATTTTGGCACTCATACGTACACCATTATATACATATTACACAAACATTCGCACACATACACGGGCATACTGATAAATGCAATAGTGTTGAGCAGTTAAAGAGATCAAAAATTGGTGGAGGATGCGGGCAACTGCATTCGCTACGCTATTACTCGTCGTTACAATCTGCTACCATTTGCTAACTCTACGCTGCTAACAACTCTACAATTCTACGATGCTACAATCTGCTACGATGGATCATCTCTACTCCTTGCTGCAATCATCTACGATGCTACGATTCCGGAGCGGAGATCAACAACAACTTTTTTAGTTAACCTTTAACCTTTTCCAGTACAATACAAGCGTCAATAAACGAGCGTTTGATATCTGCTACATGTTTAGGCCACGCTTCACTGACCGACTCCTCCATCTTCTCCCACAGCTCCTCAGCGCTGAACTTTATAAGTCCGCTCTCACTCCTTAGCAGACCGCTATCAAGACGTCGCAGTAACTCATCTACGTGGCGCTCACGCAAATACGCGACCGGCACGTATGAGATTGTTTTACCGCAGTCCTCGGCCAAAACATTGAAATTATCAATATAAGGATGCGGCATGTTGCGCTTATTTGTACACGATTGTACGTACTTAAATATTTTACGCACGATTACTGGGAACGTGAACGGATCCGCTGGGTTGAGTGATGCGACATGAAGCAGCGCAAGTTTTAGGAGGTAGGAGTCGATCAGTTTCCTAGGCTTAAAGCGAGTGGCGATATACAGCTGAATAACGTCTATGTTAACTGCACGTAAATATGTAACGTCACTGTCTGTAAGCAACTCATTCTTATTCGATATAATATTTCCACACTTATAATAACAATCATGTACTCGAGGATCAAGAAATGCCTTTGCTGTGATTAGAGCCTGGCGATAAACTGGATGGAAACTTTTGATCTTTTTGCTTTCCGCTACTGCCGTACAGACGGACCAGCACGTATTATCTGAGTCCACGCCAGGCTTGGGTACCACGTGGTAGTAGTCATCAGGAAAGATTTTGGTTGCGCCAGCTGGCTTGCCCGAGATTCGTACTCCCGGCGTAACATCTATCGATATACGTAGAAATTTAAAATGTCTGCCGCCAACAAATTTCATATTAAATTGAGTGCAAACTTTGTTCCATGCCAAAATATGTGACCTTTGTGTTTTGAATGAATGCTCTCCGTTTTTCATGACTTTCGATACAGCCCGGCACAATAGCTTAACAAATTCTTCCTTTAGATTTACCGAAATATGCTGGTCTGATTTTTCCTCGCGAATTGTTACAAAGCCAGCTGTATTAGATTTTGTGTTTTCAATAATTACATTTTTTTGATATCTATCGATTTCGAATAGGAAGTCGTATTCGTCTGGCAGACCAGCTTTTGTGCGGTTGGCCGTGCTGCCTATCAGAATGGGCGTGCAGGAGAAGTCACTGTCTAAGACTTTCATCTCCTTGCAGACTCGCTCCATCAGGTCTCCCACGGCGTCCCGCATTTGATCGCATTCCCCCTGATGCTCTAATCTTCCCAAGCCTGGCGTCTCCCATATATCAGACAGTGACGTTACACGTTCTATGTCACAATAATAATTGTCGGGCAGCTCACTGACAAAGTATTGGTGCGCCAGTATAGCGCCGGCGGATTCTCTATAGCCGTCGTTGATGGTGACCTTACGGGCGCCATCTACGGCCACCTGGTACGCTGTTTGCACGTCCTCGGGATGCCACGCCCTTAGTTTATCCAATAATTCCGTTACAATGCTTGCGTGACCGCCGTCGGCAGCCCACGCCAACACCGTCCTGCCATCGTTACTGCGACTCTCCTCCACATGCGCTGCTGCTGCTAGTAGCATCATGACACACGATGTATGACCGCTACTGGCAGCATGCATCAACGCCGTCCTGCCATTTACGTCCGCGTGTTCTATGTTAGCGCTCGTACATAATAACGCTGTTACCGTATCCGTATGACCGCTAACAGCTGCTGCTATTACTGCGGTGTAGCCATTCACGTCCGCGTGATCTATGTTAGCTCCCGCACCTAATAACGATGTGACCTTATCCGTATGACCACTAACAGCTGCTACTATTACTGCGGTCCTGCCATTTTCGTCCACGTGATCTATGTTAGCGCCCGCACTTAATAACGCTGTGACCGTATCCGTGTGACCGTTAACAGCTGCTGCTATTACTGCGGTCCTGCCATTTACGTGCACGTGATCTATGTTAGCGCCCGCACTTAATAACGCTGTGACCGTATCCATATGACCGTTAATAGCTGCTGCTATTACTGCGGTGCTGCCATTCACGTTTGCGTGATCTATGTTAGCTCCCGCACCTAATAACGCTGTGACCGCATCCGTATGACCGATACCAGCCGCTACCATTACTGCGGTCCTGCCATTTACCTCTGCGTGTTCTATGTTAGCTCCCGCACCTAATAACGCTGTGACCGTATCCGTATGACCTCTCGCAGCTGCTGCTATTACTGCGGTCCAGCCATTCACGTCCACGTGTTCTATGTTAGCGCCTGCACGTAATAACGCTGTGACCGTATCTGTATGCCCGTACTCAGCTGCTGCTATTACTGCGGTGTAGCCATTCACGTTCGCGTTTTCTATGTTAGCTCCTGCACCTAATAACGCTGTGACCGCATCCGTATGACCGTTAACAGCTGCTACCATTACTGCGGTGTGTCCATCACGTTTCGCGTGTTCTATGTTAGCGCCCGCACCTAATAACGCTGTGACCGTATCCGTATGACCGCTACCAGCTGCTACCATTACTGCGGTGCTGCCTTTCACGTTCGCGTGTTCTATGTTAGCGCCTGCACCTAATAACGCTGTGACCGTATCCGTATGACCGTTAACAGCTGCCAGCATTACTGCTGTGTAGCCAGCATCGCCAGCGTGTTCAATGTTAGCGCCCGCACCTAATAACGCTGTGACCGTATCTGTATGACCGTTAACAGATGCTACCATTACTGCGGTGTAGCCATTAGGTTTCGCGTGTTCTATGTTAGCGCCCGCACCTAATAACGCTGTGACCGTATCCGTATGACCTCTAACAGCTGCTGCTATTACTGCGGTGCTGCCATTCACGTTCTCGTGTTCTATGTTTGCGCCTGCACCTAATAACGCTGTGACCGTATCCGTATTACCGCTAACAGCTGCTGATAGTACTGCGGTGTCGCCATTCACGTTCGCGTGATCTATGTTAGCGCCTGCATCTAATAACGCTGTGACAGTATTCGTATGACCATTAACAGCTGCTGCTGTTACTGCTGTGTAGCCATCATCGTTCGCGTGTTCTATGTTAGCGCCCGCACCTAATAACGCTGTGACAGTATCCGTATGACCATTAACAGCTGCTGCTGTTACTGCGGTGTAGCCATCATCGTTCGCGTGTTCTATGTTAGCGCCCGCACCTAATAACGCTGTGACAGTATCCGTATGACCATTAACAGCTGCTGCTGTTACTGCGGTGTTGCCGTCATCGTTCGCGTGTTCTATGTTAGCGCCCGCACTTAATAACGCTGAGACCGTATCCGTATGACCTTTAGCAGCTGCTACCATTGCTGCGGTCCAGCCGTTTACGTTCGCGTGTTCTATGTTAGCGCCTGCACCTAATAAAGCTGTGACCGTATCTGTATGACCGATACCAGCTTCTGCTAGTAAGATGTCACCTGTGGGTGACGCTGGTAGGTCTATTCTCGTCGATGGTCTCTCGGTCGTCTTCCTAACTGCCTTGGATTGATTGTTGCCCATATTGATAGTAATATATTGTGCTTTGATTCTATCCGCTTTTCGATACTTGAAATCTGGAGAAAAAAAACATTTTATCTCTCGTAATTAGAAGAAGTTTTAAATTTGTTTCCTTCTCACACTGTACGCCAGCATGCGGCTGCGTTTGATTACGGAATGCACGTGTAAAAACATTAACACCTAGTCATGACATACACGTGACAAATCTGAACTAAAACGATGATAATTATCCGTGTATTTATAAAAGGGTTTAATTTCATAGCTACGAAGATTTAATAGATGTGAATATTTAATGTGGGAAAAATATGCTTGTAATATTTTTTTATGGAAAATCGAAAATGGCGTCAGAACGATTGCAAATCGGACATGATTTAACAAGAGCAAACTTACTGTTTCTCTATCGTATTTCAGGCACGTGTAGCGGTAGCTGACGACCCCTGACGATGCTGATCACTGTCCTCACACCTGAGAAAACAATACACCTGATGTGACACTCGATCGTGTGAAACTGATGAACTAAAATCATATATATATATATATATATAATATAAATTTATTAATAATATACAGGTACATACACAAATGTAATTTTAATCGGAAAAATTTACGATTGGAAGCATTAAAGCCGCAATATGAGGATCTACACGTAATTTCTCCAGTACTAGACTAGCAAAATACTTCGTGTCATGAAGAATCACACTACCTTATGACAAAATAAACTCTAGTTCCTCTCATTTCACTGCGCGTTGTCTTAGAAAATACCTCCAATGTTGTTCAAATTCTCCGATGTTGTTGACACTTTCGCGTTGCTCTGCCAAGCAACCGTACAGCGGGTGCAGCAAAGATAAAAACATGTGACATCATCTAACCGATTCGGGGCGAAATTGCTTGGCAAACAATTCGGCGTTGGCGCCAGATTAAGAGATTTCGCAACTCTTTCTTGTGGGTTTTAAGCAAACATGCAGCGAAATGGGAGGAACTAGAGTTTATTTTACCATAAGGTAGTGTGATTATGCATGTCACGAAGTATTTGCTAGTCTAGTACTGGAGATATTAGCGTGTAGATGCGCATATTGCGGCTTTAAATTAATATTTTGGTAAAAACTAATCTTACGTGGGGCGCTTCTAGTGCGTCACTGCCGACGTCTCCTGAATCGTCTGCTGCCGTTTGGCACTGTCTAAAAATATTAAAAAATCACACATCTCAGCGTAGCTACTTCTCTACTATCGGTGCCTAAAAGCATCATATATTTATATTCTAACATTCGCATACGACGAGTAGATTTCTTTTCGCCAACATTAATATACAACCGTATAGATTTAAGAGTAAACAGTGTAGCAGCGTGTTGATTCAGTCACGGCGGCTGCATACAACAGGCACTCGCGCCATTTTAATAATAAAATGATAGCTAATAAACACAAAGTTTGTCCTTAGTATCGAAACTTCAATGTTGATGTTTACTCTCTATCGTCTAAAAATGCTTTTAAATGCCGTCAGCAATCTTAGCGCAAACGCACGCCTATGTGCACAGAGACAATAGATTATGTATCACACACACGCACGCACACACGCGCACGCACTCACACACGCGCACGCACGCACACACACACACACACACACACACACACACACACACACACACACACACACACACTCGCACGCGCGCACACACACACACACACACACACGTGTACAAACTCACCGGGCCTGGGGTTTGTCACACACTTTAGTTATCTGTGCTGGAATCCATGTGTGGGATTCTTTGTCTAGAAATCGAACGTTTTGTCCTATGAGGAGTGGTCGGAGTTCTTGCTTGTTTCCAGCCGCATCATAACTCCTCCTCATTCGTTCCCTACGTTGCTCCAGGAGTTCCTGGTTCCGTTGTCCCTTGTACGTTGTGTTGGAATCTAGGTTAGCTGGGAGTCGCGTTCGGACCTGCCGACCAAACAACATTTCGGCTGGGGAGGGGAGATGGGCGTCTATTGGAGTGCTTCTCAGATTCAGTAGAGCAGCTGCTGAGCTTTCCCCTGTTGCCTGTGTCTTTCTTATGATTCCTTTTTTTGTTTGGACCATTCTTTCTACCAGACCATTTGACTGGGGGTATCGTGGTGAGGAAGTAGTGTGCGTTATTCCCCATTCTTTGCACATCTGCTGAAACGCTGCACTAACAAATTGTGGGCCAACCAGTGTGGGTGAATTCTTTCACTTTCTGCAGGACAGGATCTTGAGTGGTCTCTTTATGTAGAGCTTGTTGCTTGAGGATCCCAAAATGGAGCAAATCAATGCCCAACGTGTCCTCAACTTCATCCAGTAGTACCCACTCTACATGGACATCAAGTGGGACATCTTCTGTGCGCAGTGGATTAGGCAACCTGCTGAGCTTATCAGAAATTATCATCTCTGTTCCTGGGCGATGTTCAATGGTGAAGTTGTACCCTTGGATTTTTACAAAAAGCCTTTGTAGTCGGGGCGGGGCACTCGTGAGTGGCTTGGCGCATATTGTCACTAGGGGTTTGTGGTCCGTCAACACCTTGAAGTCTCTTTCAAATAGGTAAGTATGGAATCTAGTAATCCCGAATACGAGTCCCAGCGTCTCCCTCTCAATATTGGAGTATTGAGCTTGGCAAGGCGAGAGACTTTTTGAGGCATATGCCACAGGCTTTCCTTGCTGTGATAGGCATGTTCCTAACCCTTTCGATAAGGCGTCTACATCAAGGGTGACAGGTGTCTCAGGATCATAGTACTTCAGCGAGCTGTCCTGCTGAATTGCTTTCCTTAGTTGCCAGTATGCTTCCTGGTGGTCTTCTTGCCACAGAAACGGAACATCTTTCTTTAATAGATCTCGCAAGATAGCGACCTGATCTGCATAATTAGGGATGTAGGAAGACAAGAAGTTCATCATGCCCAGAAACCTCTGGAGATCCTCCTTGTTCTGTGGGGTAGGCATTGCGTGGATGTATTTGACCTTGCAGGGATCTGGACTGATTCCAGCTTCCGAGTAGATCCGAAGAAATTGATCGATTTTGCTTTCACCACGCATTTGCTGCTGTTTAACACTAGTCCCTCCGTTGCTGCTGTCTCAAACAGTTTCAATAGGTTGCGGTCATCGTCTGCTTCTGTACTACCCATCACGACGACATCATCTGCGATGCACACCCAACCCTGGACTTTCCCTATTATATTATCTATTCTTTGTTGGAAAACATCCTGGCTTGTGGAAAGCCCAAAGGGTAGACACAGAAAACAGTATCTGCCGAATGGAGAACGAAACGTGGTCAGTTATTGCGAGTCCTCACTAAGATGCACGGACCAATAGTCTGACTTGGCGTCTAGCTTGGTGAAATACTTCCCGTTTACGAACTCTGGGTTAACTTCTTCTAGTGTCTGGATCTTGTGGGGGCATCGCTTGTGGGGGCATGAGATTCTCATTCAAACGCTTTTGGTCTAGGCATACCCGAATGGATCCATCTTTCTTGATCGATGTTGTGATGGAACTGCACCAGTCAGTGTGATGTGTGACCTTACGGATTACTCCTTGGTCCTCCATCTTATCGAGCTCTGCTCTTAGCTTGTCTTTAATGTGTATGCTGCACTTCCGGGGAGCATCGATGTGCGGCGTGGCATCTTTCTTCAACAGAAGATTGGCCGGTTCCTTGAAATCACCTATCCGGTCAAACTGTTGTGGCCACCGTTCCACGAGATCCGTAACCGTCTAAATGCTTTGGACCTGGTCATGTATGTATTCTAGCGGCTTGTCATCCTTCGTCACAGTATGGATGGTGACGACACTCAGAGCCTTGCTGCCTGGTAGGCCTAGGATCGCAGGTCCAGCTACCTCAACCACAAAGAACTCCTGTTTGGTCTATGTAGAGTCCTTGTATAGGCACATGGGATCAATGGAACCGATGCAAGGGATGTTGGATCCATTGTACGCAGTAAGCTGTACTTGTCGTGGTCTCACAATAGAGCGCCATTGTACCTTGGGGTACATTTCATGTATGATACGGAGGGGGAGTGTGTTGTCACCTGCCCCAGTATCTACTTTTACTTGCAGGCGATGTTATCCAACCTTGGATGGACAGGTGATGCTCAGAACTGTGAAGGCTTCCGTACTCTCCCCTGCCTTGGTGTCCATGCTCGAAATAATTATGGAGCTGAAAATTTGAGAGAAGCCCTCCTCCCCGTGGTCAGCAATTACTTGGTGCTCTTCTACAAACATGGCGTCGACTTTCTCTTGTCTCGGTCCACGCCTGCAGGAGGGGATAGGAGTCCTATCCGACTTCGATCTGCAGCACTTGGCCCAATGCACCCTTTTTCCACAGTGCTTGCAGGTATCATGATATACAGGACACTGTCTGGGAGGATGGTGCAGTCCGCAGAAACCGCATTGCTTGCAATCACTTGTCCTCGGTCTCCCTCCCTTGTTTGGCCCCAGTGGGTTCCTACGGATTGCGTCGATATTCGACACTGGTGAGAGGTCTGCCAGACACTGTTTCCCAGCAACAATAGCTTCATACTGCCTGCCTAGGGTAACCACGTCTGTAAGGGCATAGCCCGCCGGTTTCTGCAATAACTCGCGCTGCATGCCATCATAATGTGTGGATGCAATCACGAGTTCTACTATGCGTTCATTGAGCTCCTCTTTAGAGAAATCACACTGGCGGCTTTTGTCCCTGCAACGCGTTACAAACTTATCGATTGTCTCTTCAGGGTGCTGCCTGTACCTCATGAGCTCAAAGCGATGGATGCGGAAATTGATGTTGACTCTCAACTGCTTGTCAAAGTAGTCCCAAACCAGTTCCGGATTGTCTTGGTCTGTTTCACTAAGACCTGATGCATTGAGGCGTCTCAACCCCTCTGTCCCTAGAGCAATCTTTATCTTCGTTGCTTTCTTTACCTCATTTGTAATGTCTAAGTCTTTTAAACACAGCTCCATACGCTGTCTAAAAAGAGAGAACCCATTTGCCAGGTCTGGCATCTGCCAACTCATTTCCGGTAGGCGTGCCATGTTACGACTATCCTCGATTCTCAACTCGAGTAAACAAATGGTCTTTCTAGAGACTGATGAAAATATCTAACGGTCTCAACACTAAAACCAAACAGTCGTCTCAGTAGTGTTACCGCACCGCAGCCTGACTCAAAAATACGCGATTGCCAATATAGACTCTGTGTGAGATACAACACTGTATGTCTGCACCTATCACATGCAGGTACATTGCAATTTTATTCAGAATCGCAAACACCAGTAAATATGCATCCTATCTATACCGTGTGTCATTACTACACGCATGGACCTACAGCATATTAGCATACATTAAAATTATACACTTCGCTTGATTCGGTCTATACCCGTCGAGTCTATTTATAAACCTCCCTATTCGCGGGATTGATACAATCTTCAGCGTGCTGCTTGTATATAAAAACTCTAACACACATACTAAACCGGGACCGCTCGTTTTACTGGCTATGGTATTCTGATGCTACAAATACAGGCTATATATATATTAACAATACCGTTCTTCTTTAACTCTTAGTTAACTTTAATGATATATTTTGCTGAATATATCATTTCGTTTAATCCAATCCCCCAGACCCCTGAAATTCATCGAGGCAAAATTTATATGCTCACCCATTTTCTAATAAGACTAAGTATGGAGTAGGTCCATGAAAGTCAAAGAGATTGAATGAGTACATGGTACACCTACAATTGTCATAATACTTATATATCATGTGACTTGAAAATAAAGGTTGGGACTAACAAACATATAAACAAACGGTCGACAAAACATGACACACAAACATATGGGTGCATGTGTATACTTCCCTGGGCAGGGCTTCCTCAACAGGTGCATCCCTGTGTGATAGAAAAACACATGTACAAAACACCGCAAACATGCAAAAACTTCCAGTAGGGTGCATCAAGGATAGATGACAGACAAGCCGCAGCTCCTGTTTACAGATATCTATCTGAAAATGTGTTGACTGTCAACTATGAATTAATTTTTTACTATTTCCATCATCACACTGCTCCAAAACCATATATAATCAGTGACCCGCTCATATACACACACCTACACACGTCTTCGCGCACGCACGCACGAACGCACACACACACCACACGCACTATGATTGCACAATTCGAAACCCTGACAAACACGTGTGTGGCTGTACTTGTCGCATGACTGAGTCTGGAAAGTGGAACGTCAAGATTGTAATATCACACTGCATGCACTCGCTGCCATAGTT